TACGAGTGGAACATGTTACTTTCGCGAAGGATTCCGATCTTCTTGCTAGTCAGATTCAAGTTTTCCGTGATATGAGCGGTACGCTATATGTTGTAGAGAGCATTCCATAAATAGTTAAGAAATTTTATTAATTAGTACATGTATATGAACCTACATATACATAAACACGCACGCGCGTGCGCGCGCGTACGTAGATGAATGTTTTTAAATAGAAAGTTTTATTATTTAAAAACTACACAAAAAGGAATTTAAAAGATTAAAACAATTGCACGTACTAAATATTTTGACACGAACGACATGTAAAATAATACATTTGTTACAAATTTTTAAATTTATAATGACTTTTAATTTTATTACTTTGTATTTGTGTATATTTCGACACACCAGCGCGCGCGCACGTAGAAACGTATCTTTAAATAGAAAGTTTTGTTATATGAAGAACTACACAAAAAGGAATCCAAGAGTTTAAGACCATTTTACATCCTGAATATTGTGACATGAACGACATGTAAAAGAATTGATTTGTTACAAATATTTAAATTTATAATGACTTTCGTTACAGAAAAGCCAATTGGACTTTTGCTACAGAAACATCTATTTGAATGGTTCTTAGACGTTTTCAAGGCTATCATGAGTGACTGTAAATATTTGCCAAAATTGGCCACTCCACCGATACGAGTCAGTATATTTTACAAACTTCAATTTTATAAGTAAATCTCTTTCCCTTTTTCTTTCTCTCTCCGTATACCTTGCGTAACACTACGAAGAAAATTCAATTTTCTATCCTTTTCAGTTTGAAGATCCTATATATGGTACTACTGATTTAAAGTATATAGACTTCGTGATACCATCATTTCTATTAGTGTAAGAAAAAGTCATGCCAACATAATAAATAAACTTAATCTACTAAACTACTTATAGTATTGTAATATGTTTTTGCAGAACAGCCTTCACTTTGGGCACTATAGTCTCTTCCTTGTTGATAATCACAGATCGAGAGGAGGGTGTCTGGAATCGAAGCTTAGTCCAAGGTATTAATTTTTTAATGACACTACGAAATAGACTTTACGATTATTTCTTTGCCTTTGTATATTTTATCACATTAAGGTGAATATATTGTACATGCGTGACAGGGATAAAAGTAGAAGAAATTCTGCTGTCTCACATTGTGGTTGAAAGCATCATCACAATTATGCATACCATTACGGCAATACTCATAGTCTTCCCTATATGGGGTTTGGAATATAAAGGATCAATATTCGTTATAACCCTCCTTCTCTTTCTCTCCGAGTTTTGTGGAATGATGTGTGGTGAGTACTCCATTCTGTACTTATATCAAAAAGCGTACAGCAGCAATTCGGAATTTAATGAAAATGTTGCGTGAGCAATAGTAGAGAGCCCGCAGTCGAGAGGGCGACACACACACTTACACACATACACACACACATGCGCACAGACAGTCAGTGGTAGTACATACATGGCCGGCAAGCAAGAAGTCGAGTCGCATGTTCACGCAGCATCGACCCGTTCCTACAAAACACACTGGTATTCCATATCCATACGCATATCCATATCCTCTCGCGGGTGTCCCCGCAACAGAAAATTACACTGATTGTTTGTGTTAATGCATTTGCAGGTTTTGTTATATCTACCTTTTGCACAACTATTATGTCGTCCACATTATTGTCAAGCGGAAGTTTGGTAACGACGTTTATAATGACTGGTGAGACTTTACTCTATCTGTTTCTCGGAAATGGCCTCTTACTTTAATTAGTTATTAAATTAATTCTAAATTTAGTTTTTTATTACGTAATGATATATGAACAGGGTAAATGTGCATAAAAAGACCCCACCTGCCGATGACCTTGACCTTGACATATGTTGTCAAGGACACCCTCCTGAGTAACTCTTAGAAGTTTTTAGCCGGCGGTCGTTATTCGTTAGAAAGTTATTAACAAAACATTGTCGGGTAATTATGCATAAAAGCGACTTCCTCTCCGATTTGTTTTATTTTTAAATATGTTGTTGGGGATGTCTTCCCGAGTCATTTCATATAGTAGATATA